AGGGGGCCAGGGGGGTATGCTACACTTAGGGTTTAGGGTTTAGGGTTTAGGGTTTAGGGCTACACTAAAGTTGCAGGACGTACGAGGAGAAGATTCTAGATTATAGTATAATGAATTTAGTATATTCTCCCACCAAAAAAGGCATATCTGGTATACTTATACGAGGAGAATTAGGATAAGGCGATATAACCTACTATAATGCAGATGTATAATGTATTAGGACAAGGCTATACGATATATAGATAAACAAATAAATATACATATATATATATGTGTGTAGACAGATAGATAGATATACATATATATATATATATACACACATTTGTGTTTATATTTATATAAGTTTTTCTATATTTATTTATTTATGCAGACAGATGTGCAACAAATTTGAACGACTTGCCAGGATAACGTGATATACAACACTGTAACAAATCTTCATACTGTACTAGGATATGCTTATATGATATACGAGAAAGTTGTATCATCTACTAACAAGAGAGAGAGATCTTCCGCTATGATACAGACAGCTGCTAACGTTACATGACCCAGTAAAGAGCCTTGCTTCCCCGGCCCACTGGGTCGATTATACTATCGTTGTTGTACTAACGGGGCATCAGTACGAAATAATCCGACCAGAAAGGGAAGATCGTGGCGAATTTCGGGCTTTAGGGACCTTAGGGCTTCCTGGCTCAGTCTAGGCACTGTCTAGCGTCGAAGGACAATCTCCAGAGTCCCCGAGGCCCAAAACTAACCGATTAGAATGTTCAGAACATCAGCACCGCCCGAGAATGGGCCCGCCCTATCAGTCATATGACCCTCGCTTTACACGGTCCTCCTCATACCACGAGATACCCACAACTGTCGAGAGCTGCTTCTACCAATCAAACCAAAGACGATTCCTCTACATGCCAAAAAAAACAGGAGGTCTCACGTAAACCACAGCAAGGCCCTGCAAGGCCCTGCATCTCCAGCCATCTGAGGAGAAGCTGCGAAAGCGTTGAGGATGACGTAGGTTTCATGGCGGGGGATGGTGCGAGGTTTGCAGCTTCGAAGCTTACAAAAGTCAAGGAACCGACGTCCAAAGCATCCGCCTATAAACTTTGCCATCAAAGAAGCTCTGATACAAAAAACCCTAAACGCTGAAGCTTAAACCGTTACACCCAAAACCCAAAACCCTAAACCCTGAACCCCTAAATTCCTAAGCCCTAAACCCTAAATTCCTAAACTCTAAACCCCTAAACCCTACACCCTAAACCCCTAGGCCCTAAATTCCTAAACCCTAAATCCCTAAACCCTAAAGCCGCAGCTTCCTTCGTGCCCGCCTTCTCCTCGCTGCCACTGCGGCTGCGACTGCGATCGCGACGGCGGTTTGCCTTTTTGCCTGGATGGAAAAAACTGGGCCAACATAGGGTTTCGGGTTTAGGGGTTTAGGGTTTAGGGTTTAGTTTATATCGCAAGATGTGTGTGTGTGTGTGTGCACCCGTACACTGCAAGCATCCAAACATGCGAACAACCATCCGTCCATCCATCCATCCACATGCATGCATGCATGCATGTACATATGTACAGGAACACACTGTTTACGTTTGTATCTCTCCATCTACGACCTTACCCATATGCACCTACCTCTACCTGTCTGTCTGTCTGTCTGTCTGTCTGTCTGTCTGTCTGTCTGTCTGTCTGTCTGTCTGTCTCTGTCTGTCTCTGTGTCAGTCCTCACAGATACAGGTACATACATGCAAACATACGTGCAGAAATACGTACGTACATTACACCCATCCATTGAACCATCAATCCATCTATCCACCCACCCACCCAGCCGTCCACATGCATGCATGCATACATACAAAGAGACAAATCTTATATATATATATATGTATATATATATATGCGAACAGACTTAATCATATATATATATGTATTATATATATATATACACACACACACACACACGTTTGTTCCTGCGCATAGTTGCTCATGCACTTGCTGACTTGTTCGTCGGCTTGTTTGCTTGATTCTTTGCTTCCTTGTCTTGAAACACAATGAGACGGCGGTTCAGGGCCTGGGGTTAGCAGTGTTGCTGCCTTGTGCAACTTCACAAACCTTCGCACAAACGTTCACACAAGCATCAACCGACCTGGCCAGCGATGCAGGATCTTCCACCATGATTCTCCCTCCATTCCCTCCATCCCTGCCGTCGATCGGGCCTGACATCAGCGTCCTTGGTGGCGCTGGGTCCTGTTCCAAGGAATTTGCAGGTGCCAGCATGTATGTTCCAGATAGACAGATGGACAGATGCGCAGTCGACAGAGAGGTAGATGGACAGATAGATAGACAGATAGATGGCCAGGTAGATAGATAGAAAGAAAGATAGATGGATCGATCCTGGTAGGTACAGGTAGATAGATAGATCGACAGATAGATACATGCATAGACTGCATAGACACAGAGATTGTACCCCCTCAGCAACAGCGTCCTCGTGCACAAGGCCCGTCGCACAACACACCTACACCTACACATTGGAGAACCTCTCGAGGCTGCGGACACGGTTTAGGGATTAGGCTTTAGGGTTTAGGGGTTTTAGGATATAGGGGTTTGGGGTAGAGGGTTGTTTTGAACATAAGCCTTGGGGATGGAATGGAGTTGGAACAATGGCCAGGCCTCCACCCCACCTGGACCCCAAATAACCTACCGTTTTAGGGTTCCTTATTCATGGTTTCTTTCTATAACCCCTTAAAAAGAAGGGGTAGGTTCTTTGGGGTTGAGGTAAACCCTAAAACCCATGAAACCCTGAACTGTCCCCACGGCCCAAAACCCTCCAAACCCCAAGAAGCGGATGAGTGGCCTTCTTAGCCCAAAGGGTCCAAGAAATAGTACAGTGTATACTTTGGGGGCCTAAGTAGCTACTATTTTGGTACTTTGACCAACCCTAAACCCTAAACCCTAAACTCTAAACCCTAAACCCTAAACTCTAAACCCTAAACCCTAAACCCTAAACTCTAAACCCTAAACCCTAAACCTTGGGCCCTTTGGGAAGTTGGTCTGCGGGTGTCTTGGAGCGACTCTTAGGCCCGGGGCTCGGACGGGCGATGCATGGCAGTTTACCAGATCGAAGGATCCTAAAACCCTAAACCCTAAAGCACTAAATCCTTAACCCTAACCCTAAACCCTAAACACTGAA